TTTGGAAAGTAGTGGATAAATATATATATTATATACAAAACGTTTAAATAACCGTATCTTAAGACTAGAAAAAATAGGGTACTTAATTAATTACAACAAAATACAGGATCCCATTCTTTCTTCCTTTTTTCTCTCCATCTCACTCATACACACCCTTTCATAAACACTCATTAACCATACAAGTATTAAAAAAAATTGACTTTACAAATTAAAATCACAAATAAAAATGCAAAATATATGTATGCTTCTATCTATTCATGATGTATGATGTATAGATTGATTATTAATAATAAATTGGTAGGTATCTTAACATTGTAGTACAGAACATTTTATTTTTATGAACTATTATGTAACTATTTGCTCTTATCAAATGAAGACTTGTGTGTGTTTGGAGGAGGGAGTGTAACTTGACGTTGTTCGACACCTTTGTCCAGTACACTTAAAATTCTGCACGAAAGTTAACACACGTCGTAAAAAATATTAATTAGATGTACAAGATGATAAAAAAATAATATAAACTCACCAGTGAATGCAAAAGGAAAACCTGAAGACTTGTGACGCTATGATACAAAAAACTTCTAGTTTACAATTTTGAAATTTTATTATGGATTTGAATACCAACATTAGGCCAACATTATATTCAAGTGGTTCATAAATACCAAAATATTAAATGGCCTAATGAGAAAAGTGAGTTAAAATGGTCTTTATCAACCAAAACTTTTTGCCTACTTTCCTATTAAATCTTAATTTAATAAGAACATTCCTGATTATGGAACAGTCGTCTGAATGGGGAGAAAACAGATGGAGGGGGGTAGAGATGATCTTGTAAACACAAAACCAATGTTACCAACTTTTACCATTTAGCTCTAATTCCATAACAATACCAGTATATTTAAGTGGAGGCGAAAATATGGAAATCCAGGGGTGGAAGTCAAAAATCCAATATTAAAAAATAAACTAGGTTACTTAAGCCAAAGTAACATAAATATTAATTTTTTGGGAGCGATCTTTATGTTTTTTTTGTGAAGAATAGAATATTGGGGCTGCAAACAAAAATCTATTCAAAAGGCTTATCGCTACCCCACCACTTTCCCCTTTACAAGCGACAGTTTCATAATGTGTTCCGTTCTTTATAAATATGAAAACAAAAATTTTATAATCAAATTTAGATTTTCTATGTATTTTATATTAACGTTCACATTATTCACCAGGATTGTTTTCATTTTAATTATAACAAGATCCATAATAAAACCTTATTATAAATCTATCATTATTATAGATAGAATAAAGGTCG